AACCACAAGGTCCATCTGACTCAGCATTTTGAAATGAGAAGATAAGATAAAAATTCCACGGACTTTCTGTTTCACCTAATATATAATTAGTAATTAAAAATATAATAAAACTTAAAAAAGAATTGGAATTAAAATTAGAAGAAAGTTTCGATAATTACTATAAAAATATGTTCATTGAGATGTCGAACACTCCCATTGGGTCTGGATTTTTTGGAACTGTATATAAAGTTAAGCATAAAATCGATGATCAAATATATGCCGTCAAAAGAGTGGAAATTAAGGGTAAATATAAATTATATTTAATTTTAATATTATTTACTAATGAGATATTTTAGATTTAACCGATGGTAATTATGATAAAATATTGAAAGAAGTGAAATACTTAGGAAAACTTAGTTCCGAATTTGTGGTTCAATATTATAACTCATGGATAGAAAGAAACGAACTCTTTATTCAAATGGAGTTTTGTTCACAGAATTTAAGGAATCTTCTTGAAGTCAAACAACGAGTATTTGACCGACAATTAGGAGAAGCTATGGATTGTGTCGAATATTTCATTTCGTGTGAATTATTCCGTCAGATCTTAGAAAGTGTTCAGTATTTGCATGAATTGAATCCACAGATCATCCACAGAGACCTTAAACCCGAAAACATATTAATCACTGAAAATGTAAGAAACTGTAGAGTTGTTCAGTTATGTGACTGGATTAGCTGTAGACCACATTATCACATCCCAGAGTCATACAAAAAATGTTGGAACACTTAGATATATTGCCCCAGAATTATATCAATCAAAGTATACAATTAAAGCCGACATTTATAGTTTGGGTATTATTTCAATGGAATTATTTGATATAACTTTAGAGTATGTATTGATTCCAAATTTTTATTTATTGTTTTAATTTTAATACTTTTAATTATGGTTTTAATTTAAATATTTTTAATTAATTATATTGTAGTCGGAGTGATTTGGATAAATACAGAATAAACTCATTTCGACAACATGTATCAAATATTCTAGATATAACAGTATCTATGTTGTCCTTCGTAACTATAAATAGACCTACATGCACCGATATATTGAGGGATATTGACAAATGGTCACTAAGCAAGCACATAATAGAACTGTATAATAGTGAATTTAACATATTTATCAATCAACATAAATCTGATGGGTACTCAAAATTTTCGGAAATTATAACATATAGGTTAAAAACGGATTACTCAAAATCGGAACCGGATTTAACACTAGATTTACGCCTTTCCCAAAACGATATGTCGCCGTTAGCCGGAAGGGATACCTTTGGGCTGACGGCTATAGCTCTGTATAGTTTTGACGCGGAAGATGTCGATGAGATCAGCCTCGATGTGAATGAAGTGATCGTCGACGTCGAGACTCTTAACGAGTTCTGGTGGAAGGGTAGGTGCCGTGGGAAAGTTGGTTTGTTTCCCGCCAATTATGTCAAACTGAATACGTGAAACAAGTGACTTGATTATAATTATTTTTATTATAATAATCATGTTCATTTTTTATCTATTATCATTTATTCTTCAAATAAAATTTTTTATAATTTATAATTATTACTTTTAATTTTTGTATAGAAATAATAGTTTAAAATTATTTTTAGTAATTGTAAATACGGCGCAGATTTATATATAAAATATTTCTAAAAATTCAGTTTTTAATTATCATTTATTAGCTTCATTAATTTCGTTTATTTTTTAAATTTATAAAATTATAATTATTTTATCCAACCAACAGATAACATGATTAATAAAATAGCTTTTAATTGCTAAAATAAACTAATTCTGTATAACAAAATTTATCATAAAATAAAATATATTTTTATAACAAATTGATTATAATTTTTAAAAAGATTAAAATTATTTTACTTTCTTTATTGTTTTATCAACAAATTAAATTTAAAATAAAATTCATATCTAAATAGCTATCTATTTATTACAAACATAAATGAAATTACAGTACTTTTATAAGTTATAATCCATAGATGAAAACATTTTCCCATTTTTAATACATTTTGTAAAATAATAAATTGTAAAAATGTTAAAATAATAGTAACTGTAATATTGAGGAAACATACAATTAATTAATAATAGTATTTTATATTATTTTACTATAAATTATCAAAGAGTAATTAGTAATTAAATTGGTATGATAACCAGTATAAAATTTTAACTTATTATATAAATCTCTAATATATCCGAAAAAACTAAAAATCTGTTGATATTTTCGTTTTTTGACAAGTTTTCAATTTATAAAAATTTACTTGATTTCATTTCGTCTAATAATATTATTTTGAAAGCTTTTACTCTTGAAATGAAATCCTAAACACAAAAGTAAATTAATTGCAAAAACATATTGGAGTCAATGATATCCCATATCTGGAACTGAAGACCTGACTGTTCAGACATTTTACTAAAATCTAATGAATGGACTATTGATAAGAATATTCTGAAGGAAACTAGTATTGAATTAATAATAAATCAACTAAAGCATCATGACCAGTTTTTTATTAACTTTTTTAATAGCAAACCAAGATTATCTAGACCAGAGTTGCACACTACCCATACTTTTGAGTACATCAGCACTGAAATAACAATTTTTTAGATTGTTGGTTTTTTACAAGTTAACCATGTAAAATGTATTTTTTACTATTTTACAGTATCTTTGGCAAAATTATATATGAATTGTATTACAAAAGTTATCGCGAGAAAATTTAAAGCCTTTTTAAGTTTATTCAAAGAAAAATAAAATAGTTTTAAAAATTTCAAAAAAATTGCAGTTTAATAAAAAC